GGAACCAGGGATTGAACTCAGACCCTTGCACTTAGCCAGGCAAGTGCTTATTCTGCTAAGCCATTTCCCTGGCCCCCTCTACTGTATTCTTATTCTCTTTTGTACATATACAGACAACTGCTGAGGTATGTCACATGAATGGTGGAGACCAAGTGAGGGAAGACAAGAGGAATATGTAAAAAAGGGAAAATGGAAGAGCAGAAAATAGGCAGGAAAGAAAGCCAAAAGGAGAAAAGATAGATCAAAAGAGGACATAATAAAGAACAAATGCTTCAAAACTAAAGAGCTTAAAGTTAAAAACTAATACTGATATAGAAGCAAGAATAAAAGAGGAAAAAAAAAAACAGAGAAAAAACAAAACACACAGAGGAAAACACTTGCCCATACCCAATCTATAGCTCATAGCCAGAATGATGCACAGTTCCCTTCAGGTTGAAGTCATAGTCTACTTGTAAGGAAACACATCAGGGTTCCCCACCTTTGATGATCTTGAATTCCTTCTTGGGAGAGGGGATGGCTGTCTCTCTACCTAGGTCCACCTCCTAAGTGCAAGCAGTGCTTTGGACTTAGCTAAGTGCAGACCTTTATCTCTGTTCAGAGAGCCCAACCCATCAGTTAATTTTGGAAGAGAAGTATGGGAAGTAGTTTGTCCTCCATCCAGTTTCCCTTCAACTTCCCTCAATACCCACTGAGTCCAGCTCCCCTTGCTTCAGGGAAAATCTGCTTGTCCTCCTGTTCTTGTAAGAGATATCTGCCTAGTGTATGGTGTGAAGTCCTCTGCTCCAACCAAACTCCTGTGTTCCTTTGCACTTAGATTCCAATCTACATGTAATCAAAAGCTCCACTTTATGATGCATGGAACTTGGTGTAGCTTCCAGTCATGGCAAAGGGCCTACTTTGCCAGTGCAAGACAGAGGGCACAGATAGGATTTCCCTCGACTCAGAACTTTCCAGTGTTTGGGAAAACAACAGGAAAGCACTTGTTCTCAACTGACTCTGTTCATTCTCTCTACTCTCTCATGTCTCCAGGGAAGTGGTCCATAGGTGTTTGACAGCAGGCTTTGTACAATCCACAGTTCACAGAGTTAGGTCTCCCTCTGCCTACAGCAGAAGAGTTTGTGGATGCCAGGCAGTGGGCTGAGGTTAGGATGCTGCTAAAGCAGAGTTCCCCAGTGTTTGAGAGGATGGGGAAGGGCGCTGCCCATTTGCCTGTTATTATCTTTCCTTTCCTTCAACTTGTGGCTTTTCTGGGGCCCTTAACACATTTCTCTGCAATTCTAGGCTTCCTTTTCAGTTGGGAGGGATATAATGTAGGGAATTTATTCTAGCAGTCTGGACTCTATAGTGCTGTCTCCTTTCCTCATGCTGCTTGATTACTCCCCAGATGGTGTGCTTCCTCCATGGAGGTTTTCCAGGGTGGAACTGCCCAGTGGCAAATCTACTTCACTTTCTTAAGAACCCAGGTACTTGGTTTTGATCTACAGCATGTATCTTTCAGATTGCTCCTTCACTTCTGCATATGATTGCCTTCCCATCACCGAATACCTATAGTTTTTTGTGACTCTTCACTGAATATCACCACTGTTACTCCTCTGGTCAGCCATGCTGGAATCCTAGTTCAGTGATTAGAAACACAGAAATCTTGTTTAACTTTGCCAGTGTCTATGAGAATTTTATATTGTAAAGCTCTGTATTATTAAAGCAATCAGTCAAGAAATAAAAAGTATCACTGTAGACTAATGAAGATTGGCCAATAATGTACAGAATTTTGAACTAAAACCCTAGCAGCTGTATCTTGAGGTTACCTTCTTTAACTATATTATCATCGGGGCAGTGGAATGAAAGAAATGTCTTTTGGCATGCTCTTCAGAGTGGTATGTGAATCACTCTCCATGATGAAATATTGAACATAGGGTTTTTTTAAGATCCTTCTGTTTAAATCCTTGAATTTATCAAGGAGTACCTCAGGAATTTTTAATGGAATTGAAACTATCCTGCCTTCACTTGTGAATTTGGACAGTGTTCTTTCCTAATGTGTTAACTGTGTAAGAGTGAATTATGCTGAAAGCATGAAATCTGTAAGTATTAATTTCTTTGCATTTCTTTGAAAAAAGGTTACACAGTAGCAGATTATGATGGTTTTAATTTCTAAAATTTCTTTTGTGACCTCTTGCTCTTTCCTTGTGACAGGTGTGCAAATGGCTCCAGCTGACTACTGTGAAACAGTGGAAATTACATGTGCTCAGGAAACTGAATGTATATCAGAAAGTGAGCAAAGAAGTGATCCAGCTTGGACCTTAGGAAGTCAGAGTAAATCAGGTAGTAAGGATACAGTGAGACAAAATTCAGATTGTCAGAATTTGCCACATTTAAGACAACTCAGAGGAAAACATCCACAGTCTGAGTTAAAACTTGCATATTCATCTGCACCACAAGGAAGTACAACTGAGGCAGTAGTGGAAAACTATGTCAGAACAGAAAGATCAAGAAGCAAGAGAAGGAGAATTCACAGAGCTACAAGAGCTAAAAGTAGTTCACATCCAAATATACTGAGTGAAGATGTAATGAGGTCACCTGGTAATACATTTACTGAGGATTTTGAGAATTTATCAGTAAGTAACACTGAGACATTTTCTATGAATGAACCACATAAGACATTGAGACAACAAAAAAACAGACCTATGTTACAAAGTATAGATAACTCTTCAGCTTCTGGACAAAGCACTGATTACCAAGAACATTCTCCACACACAGCTAGCAATACTGGTTCTGAACAATTTCAAACAAGTTTTGTCTATATATTTCCTGATATCCAAATCACAATTTTTCCTACAGAAGATCCTCCAAGTGATGGCGTAGATTCTCTAATTGTGTTGATACCAGAGACAATATGCAACAGTGAACAACCGTTTCTTCTAGAAGCGGTTATAGTACAGGTCCTACATATGTATACGTGTGCTGAAGAAGCACGTAGAAGTCAGGTAGATACCCTCAGAATACCTGCTTTCAGAAATTCCAATACTGGTTTTAATGGCAGAAGTTCTACTGAAACTCCTACAAGAACATCAGGGCAGGGAATGACAGGATGTGATGGATTCAGTATCCTTACGGATACTGGTAGTGATTTACAGTATACTGGCTTGCCCCAGGGTCAAGCAACACAAAATGGAGAATTACAGAATAAAAGAGAGGGTTCCGATATAAACCCCAGTTTTGAACTGCATTGTGGTGCAACACCTATTTTTAACCCAAGTCTCAGCTTTATTACTGGTTCGAGGAGTGGCCTTAAGCTCACTGCTAGTGCTCATTCTAATGAAAATCCTAAAATTGGTTCAGTGATGCCTGAAGACCTTAATGAAAGGCATGCGTCATTAGGCCCACAAACACAGCCCCAACATGAAAGTCAACATTCACACTTGGAAATATTTAATGAAACTGAAGCCTTGCAAATCTTAGGTGACCCATTCCTTAGTGATGAAAGTATTTTTCTCCCACCTCCAAGGCTTACAAAACAACAGATTGACAACTTGCCAGTAAGAATATTTGATAAAACCAAGGCTGTGGAGTTCTGTAGTATGTGCCTTACAGAATACACAGAAGGTAGTGTGATCCGCACACTGCCATGTTCACATGAATTTCATGTTCAGTGCATTGATCCTTGGCTCCTGGAAAATTCTACCTGTCCAATTTGATGCACAAAGGCGACAGAAGACAAGAGAGAAAATTCTTCAGGAGTGAGTCCTACTGATAGCAATTTACAGTAATGGACAAACAATAATCATCTTTTCTGTCTACTTTTGAAGCCATGAATATATATAATGTAAACACTTGAACCAGATAATTTGTTAAAAAACAAATTATTTACTACAGTTACAGTGTCCAAATAAAGTGGTATTTAAAAAAATGTCATACCTGACTTTAAATAACATCCATTTTATAACTTTTCCCTGAATTTCAGTAGAAATGCATCAGATGTACTGGTGGGGATGCTCTTGAGTTCATCAAAGATTTAGCATTTTGAGTGCTTTGTGTTACTTTTGCTTTAGGTATGATAGAGCATGGTGGCAGCATAAAATGAATAAAAGATGCTCACATCATAGTGGCTGCAAAGGAGAAACAGTGGGGTTGGAGTCCTGCTATAGCTTCAAAGACATATCTCCAATAAAAATTTTCATCTAATAGGCTCTACTTAGTAGGCTGGAAAACCTTCTGTATTTAAAGCATCCCCATTGCTGAGATAGAATACATGATGCCTAAGTAAAGAGTAGGAAAATAGTGAAAGGAGGGGAGCTTTTTGTTGGCTCACACTTCTCAAGATTTTTTTTGCTCTATGCAGGAAATCAAATGGTAGACAGATGTAGCATATGTATACACTGAGGTGTATAATTCTCCCAAGACCGATCACCTTTCAAAAACCCCTCATTTGAACACATTATCCTTCTGGAGGACACACAGATGTAAGCCTTGAAACAAATTGTCAACACTTAAGTGTTTGCAGGAATTTTTTTAAATTACTGTAGCATTCACCCCTGGCCTGTAAAGCTCCTGTCTGTCCCATAATGCAAGTTTAGTTCATCACAAAGAGTCCTACACATCATAACTGTTCTAATACTGCTCAAATTTCCAAGGTCCCTGTCTCCTTTGGTACTCAAGGTGGAGTCTGAGGTGAGTCCCTGTTAGACCCAAATTGCATATAGTGTCATGGGATGAGCATTGTCATTACAAAAGTAAAGAGAGGAAAATAGTCATATCTGCATCTTCTCATTTCTTCCATTGATCCTCAGTTCTGTTTTTGTTTTTGCCTGTACCATGCTGATTTTATCACTGTAGATTTGTAGTATAATTTCACGTCAAGGATTGTAATGTCTTCTGCCTTGTCTTTGTTTCCCAGTATTGCTTTCGCTATTCTATGTCTTTTCTGGTTTCAAGTAAATTTTAGGAGTGTTTTCTCTAGGTCTGTGAGACATATTGGTGGTATTTTGATAGGGATTGCATTAAATCTGTATAACAATTTTGGGAGTATGGCCATTTTCACACTGTAGGTTTTTCCTGTCCACGAGAAAAGAATATATTTCCATTTTCTGAAATCCTCTTTGATCTATTTTTTCAAAGTACTGTAATTGTTATTGTATAGACCTTTTACCTCCTTAGTTAGATTAATTTCTAGGTATTTCAGTTTTTGGACCCTACTGTAAAGGGCATTCTTTCTTTATTTTCTCTCTCAGTGTGTTTGTTATCTGTGCAGAGGGATGCTATTGATTTTTGGGTGCTGATTTTGTAACCTGCTGTGATACTGAATTTGTTTATTAATTCTAAAGGCTTCTTTATGGAGTTTTTTTGTGTCTTTCAAGTACAGTATCATGTCATCTGCAAATAATGAAGCTATACTCATAAGTGCAATAAATCAGACCCACATGTGTCAATATCATCTTGTCTCCCTAGTGTAAGAAGCCAAAAATAATTAATAAAACCTGAAAGGTATAACGCATATAGTAAAACACAAAGAATAGAACTTACACATTAAATAATGAAGAGGAGAGTAAGGAAAAAAGATAAAAAAGTAGGGGAAAAACATGCAAATATCTATACAGGATGGCTGAGGAGATTGTACTAAAAATCTCCATCAGTCTTTTGAAAATAGCAGTTAATGTGTAGAATTTTCACCTTAACTAACTCTATATGCTAATATCTGCAATCTTAACAACTACATTGAGGACGGCAATGTGTAATACAAAAACCATGCTTGGAGTCCTAGCCCAGGTCCTGTGAGGGTGTGGGAGAGCTTCCTGCTACCTGCACCGGCGGGACCAAATATCGTTCCCGGCCCAGGCGCAGCAGGGATGAGACCCTCTCCCACCCCCTTGGGATGCCCAGCACCACTCTGCAACACTTCCCCACCCCGCCCACTGAGTAGGAATTTCTGCCACGTTCTGGGAACCCCCAGACCCGGTCCTAGCCCAGGTCCGGTGAGTGTGTGGGAGAGCTTCCTGCTACCATGCACTGGTGGGACCAAATACCGGTCCCAACCCAGGCGAACTGGGGGCAAGACCCTCTCCACCCCTTTAGGACGCCCCCCAACACACTGCAGCATCTCCACAAGCCTGCCCCTGACGCGATCGGGGAACCCCCAGACCCAGTCCTAGCCCAGACCCAGTGAGTGTGTGGGAGAGCTTCCTCTCCCACCTACTCCACCTTGCCCCCTCCAGGCACAGCTCAGGCCTGGCATACATGCCTGGGGTGTAACCCTGCAGAAAGTGTAAAACATAGAACCACCCAGCTAGTCCAGGAGCAGAACATCTTGCCACAGGGGCACAACAGGTTCACCCTCAAGGGCAGCAGTGGGGAGGACCTGAGCACGGCAGCCAGACCCAAGCCAGGCACAGCTGGATAAATCCGAACTTTGTAGAGCTGCAACTGAACTTCAGTACGTGCGAATGTTATAACTACAACAAAGATCTACAACAAAGGTCAGAAGACAGTGCTACACAAAATGACGAGAAGGAATAAAATGCAACCTCAGAACCCAAGCCCATCCACAAGAAGTGCAGAGAACGCTAACACAGAACAAATTGGGAATCACACAGCTGAAAGCAATGAATCAACCGCTTCTGAAATAAAGAAACAGCTGCAGAAAGGTATAGAGGAACTCAGATTGGAAATAAAAAAGAAATCCCTGAATTAATAACATCTGCAGTAAAGAATCAAATGCAGAAACATATGGAGGAAACCCAGTGCCCACCCAGAACAAGTGAGGAGGACACTAGCTCAGCTCAAATGCATGAATTAAAAGCATCGATAGTAAATAAGCAACAGCAGAAAGATATAGAGGAAATCAGAGCGCAAATCTTTTTCTGAAATAAAAAAAAGAACTCTCAGAACTCATAACATCTGAAGTAAAGAAGGAACTACAGAAACATAGGGAGGAAACCCAATCTGAAAAAAACACTGCAGTAAAAGAATTTATAACTGCTTCTAAAGAAGACATTGATTAAAAAAATAGAGGAGATTAGAAAAATGATGGATTCCTTGAATGAGCAATACAGGAAAGAAGTAGATCGCATAAAACAGAGTCAAAGAGATGTAGTGGATATTAAACTCTCCATCACAATCTTGCAAAACTGTTTAAGTGAAAGTGAAGACACAGTTTCAGATCTTGAAGATGCTGGTGCAGCTAGTGAAAAAGTAAGAAAGGATGTCTTAAAAACAATGAGGATGCAGGAAAGAATAATCCATCACCTGCAAGATGATGCAAAGATGAACAATATGAGACTAATAGGCATCAATAAGAAAGAAGAAGTCAATACAAATGACATTAAAATATATGGGCAGGGGCTGGTGAGATGGCTCAGTGGTCTAAAGCACCTACTTAGAACAAGGTAAGCTAAGCAAAGCACAGGGACCATGGTTCAATCCCCCAGCACCACATGCCAGCCAGCCCCGCCCAATGGTGGGGTGAGCTGGCCACACACACAAAATAAATGAAATAAATAAATAAAATATATGTGCAGGAGTGATAGCAGGAAACTTCCCAAATATGAGGAAACAATCTGACATTCATCTAACCAAAGCATACAGAATGCCAAGTAACCTCAACCCAATGAAAAACACACCGAGACATATAATAGTCAAGATCACAGAAATTCAGCACAAGAATAATATACTGAAAGCCGTTAGAGAAAAGAAGCAGATCATATTCAAAGGAAAACCCATCAGAGTAACAGCAGATTTCTCTTTACAAGCCATCAAGTCAAGAAGAGCATGGAGCAAGTACTTCAAGTCTTGCAAGAAAACAAATTCCAACTCAGACTGATCTATCCTGCAAAACTCTCTTTCAAGTATAATGGAGAAGTGAAATATTTTCATGACAAAGAACAACTAAAGAATTTCATAATGACAAAGCCAAGCCTATGCAGACTACTAAATAATGTCCTAGAGAGGGAGCAAATTGATCACAGCCTTATGAATGAGAATGGAAACAACCC